GTGATTCTGAGTATCAGGTACGCGACCCTCGTCGACACACTCCCAATCTTTACAACGTTGTTGACGAGAGACTTGTGAACGATAAATCCGACACCTCCTTGGAACAGATGTCGCCCTCTCGGTAATAAAACAAGTTGCCGGACTCGAGGATTACCGTGTCCTCCCCCTCTCTTCGGACCTCAGATAATCCAATAATATGCCAGCGCAACTTGTTTACCTCTTTTTCCAGCTCCAGTATCTTCTCGTCAGTCCTCAGGGTGCGTGCGTTATACGTTGCCAGGTTTAGTCGTCGTAGGTGGCAACCGAACCTCCACCGGAGATTCTTAGCACCCCCTTTACCATGGTCGCCGCCGTAACTAGGAATAGCGGGGCCGCCGGGGACTGGGGGCCGTTTGTTTGCGTCGTTCCTCATGGGGGGATATTTGCCATAGTTGCCACGCTTGGCGAGCGGGTTGGCAAATGCAGTTTTTTATTATGTTATTGTTGTTATTAGGAAGATGCTGCTGCCCATCTCCTTTCTGTGTCCCTCTGTCTACTCTTACGACACCCACAGGCAGATATGGGGTAATGGATATTCTCAACAGCCAGTCAGTTTGGAGGACATTATATTATAACGCCACCACATGGTTTAATGATTAACACGCGTTTAGCGTACGTTCAGATCTTCATCTGTGACGGCGTCATATTTTGACATCATCACACATGATCGTTTTTGATTTTCGTTGAGCCAAATGCCAATGTATATAATATGATATGTACATCTAATACACAGCTTCCTGTCGCGTAAATGTTCATGTTAGAGTTTTTTATTTAACACAATAAATAAATATATTCTTTATTGTACAACAATACAGATTAAAACGAAACAAAATGAAATATTTAATATACATAATATGTATATAGAAGGTTTCTCACTAGGTGATATTATGGCTCTTCCGGACAATCTTTTTGCGCAAAGAACTTAGTGATTTAAATTTATTGTTTTAATTTAAAAATTGTTTACAACGAATTGCGAATAGTGAAGGTGTACATAAATTAGACAATTAAGTAAAAAAAATATAAATGCACAATAAACATTATATATCCAAGAGCCGTGGCAGCTCAAGCGCTAATCGTTACCGGAAACTTTCACAGTACGCAAGCCAAACTGGATCGTTTCCCGCCGGCACTGATTAAATTGCGTATTGCATTTAGGATATTCATTTAGGAATAAAATATTTCGACGAAATGTGAACTCCATCAACACGCACCGGGGGGTTGCGTCGTACTTGTTGCTCCAAAACTATAAGAAATGGGAGAGGCCGGTGCCAATGGGACGTACGTTTTTACGCGATCGATAGAGCCGCGCTGCAGCTATATTGTTTGCAGCACGACTGGTTCGGCTCGACCGGGGAAGCGCCACGCTCTCACAGAATACCAGTGTCAAAGAGCAGCTCAATTCTGTTATGTTTCGTATGGTGAGTATAGAGAACCGGAGACCCTTTTCTTTGTCCTCAGAGGTGGCAACGCATCTGCATTATGATTTTTTATTAAGGATGGATGTAGATATTTATGGGCCGCAGCATCAATTTATCAGCAGTGCAGCGTCACCGGGGGACTATGTGCTCGTTTGCCACCCTTATTCTATAAAAAATATATAAGTTTAACACTTTATCTAGATTCGATAATTTACAATTACTTAGTTGAACAATTTTTTCCGATATTTAGTGCATAAGGAGAGTATATATATAGCATTGTTACATATTTTGTAGCGTAGACTAGTATTGTAGCGGAGCTCTCATGCAGTATTAACCACAATGGAAGCTGATGCCGTCCGTTTAAATGACAATGCTTTATTATCGCTGTAGCTGAGTCAGATTTTAGAGTAAATCTAAACTGCTGCTACTATGAAAATGAATGTAGCCAAAATTGTACTCAAATTTACACGCGGGATTTTTTATTGTTTAATAGCGATCCACCCCGGATTTTCCTGGGTAGGATTTTTTCAATATTACAGATTGACAATTCGATTTCATTTAAATGTATAGATATTTGAATGGATTCCCCTACTCCGCCGTCACACCGCATTTTAATAATAAATTCTTATTGTAAATGAATAAACAACTATGAAAATATTATCAACCTTTTTAATCTTTGTCATCCTTTTTTATAGAATGTGGAAGACAAACGAGCACATATTCCACCTGATGGTAAGTGGATGCTGTGGCCCATAGACATGTACATTTATTCTCGATTAAGAATCAAAACGCAGATGCGTTGTCACTCCTGAGGACTAAGATGGAATGTCTCGTTTCCAGTAAAAAAGGGTTTCCGGATCTTTACAATCACCATATGAACACAGCAGTGTTAAGTTGCTATTTTACGCTGATATTCTGTGAGAGCGTGGTCTTTCCCCGGTCGAGCCGACCCATTCGTGCTACAACCTTAATATAACTGCAGCGTGGCCGGAGATTCTTGTTTACTGGAAACGAGGCATTCCATCTTAGTCCTCAGGGATGACAACGCGTCTTCGTTTTGATTCCTAATCGAGGATAAATGTAGATGTCTATGGGCCACAGCAACCATGAAGTGGACTGTGTGCCCGTTTGTCACCCTTATTGTATAAAAGAAAGATTATTATTTAGCTTGTAACATTATATTATACAGCAATAGTTACACATGTTAAAGAAAATATGCCTGAGGCTATTTAAGAGCTAAGGAGTGTTCAATTTTATTAATAATTGTTCTTTATATGTATATCAATACATTCCGAACAAGGTACGTTCGGAACTTCCCCATCTGTCGGCTTAATATGCGGGAAAACAAGATTTTGCTTTTACGAGTAAGTAATTCAGTTCAAGCAAGAGGGTCTTTAAAATAGCGTAAGTATTTATACTCATTCTACGTTACTTCATAAGATTTTAGAAAATCATTTATTTGCTTGTTGATGAACTTTACTTATATACGTATGAGGTCCCAGATCCTCAATTTTCGTATTGATTTATTTATCTTAAAATATTGACTATAACCACAAACATTAAAAATATAGTGATAACTACAAAAATATTTTCATGTTTATTTTGAAATCCTTAATAAATTAAAATTATTATTTTAAATTAATTAAGGATTTTATTGATTAATCTTTATTAAATAAAAAAAATATATTAACAAATTTTACGCTTTTATTTATACTCGATAGCTTTATGCAAATTCAAGTCTTCCTTGTATGATTTATTTAGTAATAAACATCGTTAATCTTTGAACATCGTGACTGAATATAATTGCTTTGTGAATAGAATTAATTTGTTCAGTTAGCACTTTATGACACTGTTTTATAATTTATTAGAGATACCATATTATGAGTAATTGATTTTTAAGTTATAGTTTTATGTATTATAGTAATTTAGTATTATATAGCAATTTAAAAAAATACTAAATATGAATAATATACAATACAATAAAAAATGATAAAACTTTACAAATTACATATTACTTTAATAAATTATTTATATTCGTTAAATTAACGGGTTATAACGGATATCATCGTATATGGTTAATAATTAAAATTTATTTATGTAGGTAACAAATGAGAAATCTATAATAATAATTTTTGTACAAAACCATCTTTGATCGATTTGAATAAATGTTCTATGAGCAATATTGATCGTGTAGTGGCGTTATTAGTGTACTGTTCCAAGTTTGGCAACTAAGGCAAATATTCCCCTTATTGATACAAGATGGTCTTAAAATAACAATGGAAAGCCGTTTGCGTCTTAATTTTACATAATTTAAAGTTAGTTTTAGGGCAAGGAAGTGTCCGCCGCGCTGCCCCAATGCGTGTTGACGAACCTCACATGTCTTCCAAACTTTTTTTTATTTCTCAGACATGCATTTCTCACGATGTTTTCTGTGTTTTTGATGTGCCTATCAAAAAACCACTGCTTACATAGGTCTTTTACATTGACTGTCATATATAATGAATATTTACCATAGTTCCCTCGCTTAACAATATATCGTTCCCACTCATTACTTGGAAACCGTAACTTTATATTATTTTAGTTGTTATTAGGAACATACTGCCGCCTCCTGCTTTACTTTCTCTCTTTTGTTTTTACACGGGTAATATACACCGCCATGGCATTATCGAGAAATTGCCTTCACTTTACTTTTCTTTCTCGACAGTTTTATTTTCCACTGTACACGTGGTAAATCAGTAAGATTATAAAATTGGAAGTATAAATGGGATCCAAATCGCTTATGCACCGTGTGACTGTCAAGATTTAGTATTCATACTACTCACTTACTTTTAGTTTTTAAAGTTTGCGAAACGAATATTTACAATGTAATATAATCTTTATCACTTGATTTAGAAAAGACTTGATCGATCGAATCGTATAAGTCCAGTCCTATTTTTTAAATTTTAAACATATGATAAAGTGTTAAAAATACAAAATAAACAAAAACGATGTCGTTGTCGATTGTTGCTAATATTAAGAACAAAATCACTATAGATATAATGTCATACCTTGTACTACTACAGTAGGGATGTAATTTTTCTCGTAAATCAGAAGATACAAATGTCTCGATCTCACATATTTGGCTTTCAAAGATGACCACTTGTCATTAAAGCTCTACGCATAAGTTACATGCAACGTCTTTCAAAGGGTTTCTCTTTTTGTCATATTAGAAAATTGAATTATAAAAAGCGAGACAAGTATGTTGGGCTCAATTTATGTAGAATTGTAGGTTCCCTCTATGCATACAAGTATGTAATTACTCTAAGTAATATCCAGATCACAGGTGCAGAGTAGTACTTTGTCCAAGATCCAAAGCTTCAGAGAGTACTTTTTATATAGGTACCAAAGAGTATGTAATCACGTGTAATCACTATGTTTTTGATAGGTTATAGAATAAATATGAATAACAGATGACATTTTTTGCCTACATATACGCCACAAAATTTAGTCAAATATATTTTCGACCTTTTTTCTATTTATTTGTTTATTCTGCTTATTCTTAAAATGGAAATTGTGGAAGACTATCAAGATAGTGTTGACAATGATAAAAATAATGTTATTCGTGAATTCGTAGGAAAGGTGAAAATTATTCTTGTGGATTCACCTAAAAAAGTTTATCTTCGTAGAAGGTGGGCTGCAGCCTTCGTTACATTATCACAGACACTGATTGGAGCTACGAATATAATAATGCTATTTTATGTATTGAGTTTTAAATCGGAATTATTAATAAATTTGCATATATTTTTGTGCACTATTGGCGTTAGTATTCTATTTTGTGATATTGTTTACTTTATATGATTTATTAAATAAATTATGAAATTGTTAATAATAAATGTTATTCTGTTACAGTTTCAGTTACTTGTTCCTTCAGGAATATTTAGTTTTAGTTACTACAATGGATCAACTATACCAATGAGCGAGAAAGACAAGAAGTTTGAACACATATTTCTAGAAACTGTTGGTATTTTATGTTGCATACTTGGATCAACAGCAATAATTTTAGAGACTGGATTTAGATTGAAAACAACTATACATGCAACTACAGGTCACATATTTTTGGAATTTTCGTAAAATTTATTACCTTTAATGGTATTTTTCTAGAACTGAAGATTCTTCTAATGAAAAAGTCTCAAACGTATTAAGGCCTTCGATCGTTCGTATTTCGTCTGATATCCGATAAAAATACCCAGACCTGTGATGGTAAGCAGCGTTAGTGGGATAACCTTTATTTCTGTATTTAAATAAGTGGTAAAATTAAAAAATTGTTCAATCGACTTCAATATAAATAAAATGAGAACATCATCAATGTATACGAAGTCAATTAAATGTGTATTATTAAGGATAACTAAAAAACTACTAGTCAGACCTTGATGAAATATATCTGGAATCACAAGAAAAGCACCAGTTTTTAAATAAAAAAGAATCATCAAAATCATTTTGAAAGTAGGTTGAAAAAAATGTTGATTCATAGCTCCTATCATAATTTTACCTGTTTTGTTCGTCTAGTGGCCGCAAGCTAGACTGCTGATCATGAGGTCTTGAGTTCGAATACTGGTTCTGGGCAAATCAAGTAATTGGGGTTTGGAATCAGAAAGCTGGCGGTGTGTGAAACACCTTTATGTTTCAGAAAGCCCGAAAAATAGCTGGCCCTGCACCCGATCTCCCTCCAGTCGGGACGGATTGCCTTCCAATCGGACGATGACAGTTTGGGAATAGAGAGTGCATCATTGCCTGCGTACCCATTTGTGCACTATAATCCTGTCATTTTCTGGTGGCTAGTCTTCCTTGCGTTTGGCCGCCGCAACCGAGATTCGGTCTGGAGGACATTATAATATAATTTTAAGATATAAAATTTTTTACATTCATACAGGTTTTCTAGCAAGCTGCCTAATTCTACTAAGTGGGTTCACTGGACCTTGCAATTATGGTCATGGAATTACCATGAAGATTATTAAGTGTATCCACGTTATAACTGGAGTATTTGCTTTTCTTGCATCATCTTTATGTTTTGTTTTGGGGCTCTTCAGACCTTCTATTGAAAAATGGGTCCCTGTGTCAAGTGTTATACCATTTTTAGTAATATTTTGCATTTTGTATACAACTGCTATTGCTTTGTCGCCTTTGATAAACTGTACAAAAGCGTAATAAATTTATTTTCGACGTATTATGGACTAAGATATTATGGACCATTTACTTGTTATAATGGAATTACCTTTTTTTAAATAAAGATACGTACAGTCTTTCATATTATTTCATTCTTCCATATTCATTTAAAATTTTAACTTTTTAATTTCCATAACCGGTACTCAGACAGCCTATTAAAATTGCATGTTGAACATAAATCTCCCACATAGATTGCCTCACATGAGTGAAAATTTGCCACAGTAAACATGCCTGATAGGCGGGCTGGCAACCACATTTTTTTTAATTTTCAGTCGGTAATAGGCAATCCATGGTTTGTTTCTACTTGTCGTCCTGTACTGGATCGATATTGTTGCGCGCCATAGTTGATGCCAGGCGGGTGATTATTAGCGCTATCTAGTATCAAGTAGCAGAAATCTCAAGATATTTCTTGAAAATTCCTTGCTAGAACCCTCAACATTCTACTCGAACATTCTAGATGTTTTCAGTAGAAAAGGCCTTATATAAAGACGTTAGGACCGGGGCGTATTGAATTAGCGACACAAGCGAAGACTGAAGCGAAATAAAGTGATCTAAGGTGTTAAGTGTGATTAATTATTAGTAATTACAGTGTCAATTTTGGTAATTCAATAGGCAGTTTTTATTGTCACGAACCCTAAGCTCTTACACCTTCACTTAAATATTTAAAATATATTAATTTCTATATTACAAGTAATATTAGGTAATCTTAACGTAGTTTTGTGTAAACCACAGAGAGACAGAGTCTCTCTAACACACATACAGAGAGAAAATTAGTATGAGCGTCAAAGATATTACAATTCAACTCTTATGTGCCTTACAGATAAATATTGGAATGAGTGTTATTGGAGTGACTGTATTAGTTTCTTTAATTACTATTAATAAAACTTTTACATTATATGGCATTAATAAACTGAAGTTAAGAATTACGGCTAAATATTGGAATGAGTGTTATTGGAGTGACCGTATTAGTTACTTTAATTACTATTAATAAAACTTTTACATTATATGGCGTTAATAAACTAAAGTTAAGAATTATAGCAAAATATTGAAATGAGTATTATTGCAGTGACTGTATTAGTTACTTTAATTACTACTAGCTGCTGCCCTGATGATGTTGCTTATGCCAGCGACAACGGGGTCGTCAAAATCGAAGATCTAAAACGTCTGATGTCGAATTCTAAGAGCCCGGGGACGGGAAAACAACGTGATGCACAAGGCGATTCGAGACGTTCCAGATCTTTCATTTTTGTAAGTCAACACGAAATGCCCATCAGACTAAACAACTTTTGCTAAGACGTCATTCCTATATATGTTATAATATCGTTGGGCTTTGGAGTTCCACAACAGGTGTTCCAGATCTTCAAATTTATTCTCACAGCAGAAAGAAACTCTTCACGTGGAATATTTTTTGCTATGACACCGTTTTCATATCTCTTATACTTTAGCTGGTCTGTTGCAGTTCTGCATCAGGTGTTCCATTTTCCAAAATAAATTATAACCTATATGTTATCTAGACTTAACACCTATACAACAAAAAACTTTTCATCCCGTATATTTCACCGATCCGGTGCCGAATGCACCGGATCCCAAGGGTACACTGAATTAACAATAATATTGCAAATCACTTTAAAAAATTCTTTATAAAATATAGCTGTACCCTTGGCTTTGCCCACATTCTCGGTCACGCGCAAGTCGTATCTCACGCTCCTGACTGCTCTCAAGTGATCGAGCAGTCTCAGAGCAGATATTCTGAAAACTCAATCTCTGATCCCTCTGTGTAACCGTTTCGGATGCGCGAGACAAAGAATGACGATCCCGGTCGATAGCTAAAAGCATTTCTCGTTGTTCCACACTTTCCTGAGATCGAGAAGCAGTAGTGCGGACTCGTTTAAATTCTAGTCGTAATTGGCACTGCGTGTTAGTTTCTGCGGACAAACTTAGTGCATTACGCTCACGGTTAGCACCTAGCAGTTGTTCACGCTCTGCGTGGGTTCGAGAGAAACTACTGCTACTACTAACTAACCTGCGCATCTTAGAAACCCTTGAGTTTCGAGACAGATTTAAGCTTTTTCTAAAAGGTATAGCTAAAATTTCTTCTTAATCCAATACTAACGATATTCAAAACAATGGAAAGTAATCGAATAAGTACGTAAGAATTGCTAGTAAGTAGAAAAATAATTATTATTCGCAGGAAAATTAAACACATCAACCAACACAGACAACAAAGGTAACCCCCGTTTCTATAGGATGAGAGCGGCCCATCGGCACCTATAACATCACTTTTTGGGAACGAAACCATAGCGCGATCTAACTCGACGCCAACGCCATCTAGTTAGTAAACGGAAACTACATATTATTTACCCAAATGAATTAATTAAATTATGAACGAAAACTAAATTGTCGTTAATTTAATAAACAAGTACATTATATACAAGCAAGGAACAAAACTAAGAATTACATACTTAAATCAATTACCTGCAACAAATGTGCTTGGTAAGATATAACTTAGAACCAAAAGTTTGACTTGACTTCATGATAGTGTAACTTGTTATACCACCAATCAATCTGTTTAGTAGTATTGGTGTGAAACTCTCCATACAATTAGATAGGACATGTAAAGTTCTCAGATTTTCTAATGCACATAAAAAGTGCAAAAATTAAACAAAAATTACGATTTTTCAAAACAATATTATGGGATTTAAACTTGCACCATTTAATGCGGTAAACGGTCGCCTAATCTTACCGCTAAATTCCCTGTTGGCATATTGTTAAACAGCTGTTCCCTTGCAATTTATAATATTACTGCTCCGCTACTTTATAAAAATAGCGTGATTATTATGTTCCAGAGTTAAATTTTAATTTTAACTAATAACATGTCATTTTGTGCATTCAATTATTTTGTGCATTCAATTACGAATAAAAACCGTTTAAAATCAATACTGCTTACCTCCTATAACATACGGCGTGATAATATGTAGCCTAAAGGTTTCCTTGGTTTACAAAGGACATTTTTGCTGAATTTCAATTCAATCTATCCAGTAGTTTTGGCGTGAAGCCGTACCATACACACAGACAAACAGACAATCAGACAAAAATTCTAAAAAGTCACTTTTTGTCATCAGTTACGTTTTTCTAACAAAAGCCCAAAAGCCACTAATTTTTCTCGAAAATACTCAATGTACAATTTTTCTTTCGTTACTGTTTTATTATATGTATAGATTAATAAAACTTTTAAATTATGTGGCGTTAATAAACTTAAAAATTTAGATAAAACTACCTAAGATAAGCATTTACTTAATTTTCAAAAGGTTTGGCTATTTTTATTAAAAAATTTACTGCTTTCTCTTGAAAAAGACGACCAGTTTTACGGTTAGATTTTGATTTGTTTTCAAACATAAATAAAACATGAAAATTGCCCGAAGCACCATAGTAATAATATTCTTAAGAATAAAAATTCAGATTACTATGGTTTAATAAAATTTATTGAAATCTTAAGCTTTTTCATTTTCAGAATTTCTCTTTAGATTTAAATGGCGGTCTAATTTAAATTGAAGAAAATATTCTTGAAATGTCTATTTAATATAAAATGAATAATCATAATCGATTCACCATTGGCTAAGATATCGCATAATATACATACAAAAAAGAACAACGTCTCCTTTTTTGAAGTAGGCTAAAATATGTTTTGATATGGAAATTGATGTTGACCGGATTTTCCATTTTTTTAATTTATTGGACTGATAGTCGTAAATATCATTTAAATATCATTCTATTTTCCGATTTAATGTTTACATTTGAAGCAGCTTGACTGCATTGAATACTATCGTTTTAGGCCTCGTATATCAACAAGCTTGTTTACGACTTCTTTGATTCTCGACAGAGTCGTGACTGCTTTTTCTTAATATGAA